CAGAGCTCACTGATAAGATAATTTACGAAGGCTTGATAGAATCACAAGAGATCATGGGGATGACAGAAGTGAAGGTGGTCCCTACATTAGTTGATCCCAAAATCTCTTTTCAGGTAGAAATACATAATTATACTTCAATGGAATTGGAGATTCCCAGAGGCACTGAAATTGGTGTATTTTCCGCAGTTGAGGAAGAAACCTATCAGTTGTCAGCTACAACACTTAACGAAGAGACAGAGAAAGCAATGTCTTGCAGTTCAAATGAAGATGATCAAACCAAGTTCGGGTCAGACAGGAGCGATGAGTCTCATTTGATGGAATCTGACCAAGATGACTCTAAAACGCTTCCTGAATTTTTACATGATTTATTTGACAGGAGTTCCAGGGAATTAAATACGCAACAAACTAGACAGTTGAAAGAAATGTTGATACAAAATGTTGATGTGTTTGCTAATGGAGATTTGGACTTAGGCCGAACAGATTTGGTCCAACACAGTATTGATACACAGGACTCCAAACCTATACGACAGATGTATCGGAGGCTTCCCCAATGTAGACAAAATGATGTTAATTTACTTGTAGGAGAGATGTTAGCCAAAGGAGTCATTGAACCCTCACAAAGTCCATGGGCTTCTCCAGTAGTGTTAGTGCGCAAGAAAGACGGCAGTTGGAGATTTTGCGTGGACTACAGACGTTTGAATTCAGTGACCAAGAAAGATGCTTTTCCATTGCCTCGTATTGACGAGACACTGGACATGATGGATGGTTCCGAGTTCTGGAGTACATTAGACTTAGCATCGGGATATTGGCAGGTCGAGCTTGATCCAGATGCCCGAGAGAAGTCTGCCTTTGCTGTTCGAGGAGGATTATACCAGTGGGTGGTTATGCCCTTCGGCCTATCCAATGCACCTTCCACCTTTTGTAGGCTGATGGAACGAGTGATGAAGGGATTGCATTCGGAAGGAACCCTGGTCTACTTAGATGATGTGATTAGCTTCGCTCCAAGCTATACAGAAGCTGTTTATCGACTAGAACAGGTATTTGGACGACTGAGAGAAGCCCACTTGAAACTGAAGCCTAGCAAATGTTGTTTATTTCATAGACAGGTGGAATACCTGGGTCATGTCGTATCCTCCGCTGGAGTGGGACCAGATCCAAGGAAAGTGGAAAAACTCCAGGAGTATGCAACCCCCACCACTGTGAAAGGAGTTAGGCAGTTTTTGGGAGGAGTATCCTATTATAGGAAACACATACAAAATTTTTCAGAGACAGCTGGGCCTCTACATGACCTAACTAAAAAGAACAGTCGCTTCCACTGGACAACAGAATGTCAGGCTGCGTTTGAAGAATTGAAACAGAAGCTGGTGACAGCCCCAATCTTGGCATATCCAAGAGATGATTGTTTATATATTTTAGATACGGATGCGAGTCGAGAGTCGATAGGTGCCGTCTTATCTCAGATCCAGGATGGAGAAGAGCGGGTTATCCATTATGCCAGCAAAAGACTGAACTCCCACGAAAAGAACTATTGTGTGACCCGCAAAGAATTATTTGCAGTTGTCAATTATACTAAATATTTCAGGAACTACCTGTTTGGGGTGAAATTCAAGATTCGAACTGACCACAGTTCACTGCGGTGGCTTACGAATTTTCGCAACACAGAAGGGCAGTTGGCGAGATGGTTAGAGTCACTTCAACAATTTAACTTTGAGCTAGAATACCGACCAGGGCCTAAACATGCCAATGCTGACATGATGTCTAGAATTCCGTGTAAGCAGTGCAATCATTGTGATGAAAGAGATACCGAAGCTGACACTGAAGAGGTATATTCAGTGGAAGATATTGCGCTGGTTGGTTGTAGACCCGAATGGACTTTATCTGCCATAGCCGAAGCTCAACAGCAAGACCCAGATATTGCTCCTATATTTTCAGCTAAACTCAAGAGTGAACGGCGACCTTCGTGGGAATCCATTAGCTATGATTCACCCGCCACCAAATGCTACTGGAATCAATGGGATCGCCTGATGGTAGAACAGGGAGTGCTGTGCCGAAGATGGGAGAGTGAAGATGGAAAGGTGGTACAACCTCAACTAATTACGCCAACTCCACTCAAGAGTCTTGTGTTGGAGATGAGTCACGCTAACAAACTGGCAGGACACTTTGGAGTTAGAAAGACTCTGGATAAATGCCGAAAACGTTACTACTGGTACAAACAGAGGGGAGATGTTCAAACAATGGTTAGGGCCTGCCATGTGTGTGGTTCGATGAGGAGACCACAGAAGTTACTACGGGCCCCTATGCAAGTACAGGGGATCAGCGAACCTATGGAACGCTTTGCTGTGGATATTGTAGGTCCACTTCCAGAGACTCCCAGAGGGAACAAGGTTATTATGGTCTGTTCTGATTATTTTTCCAAATGGGTGGAAGCCTTCCCACTTCCAAACCAAGAGGCTGTAACCGTTGCCAACAAGATGGTTGAAGAGGTAGTTTGCCGTTACGGAGCCCCTAGGGAACTACATTCAGATCAGGGCAGGAATTTTGAGGCGAATGTTTTCCAGGAACTTTGTTCTCTTTTAGGTGTACACAAAACAAGAACTACTCCCTTCCATCCTCAAAGTGATGGTCTTGTTGAGAGATATAACAGAACTTTGAGGGAAACCATGATTAAACTCCTACAACCTGATGGACACCAGCGAGATTGGGACTTGCAAATCCCCTATGCTTTGTTTGCTTACAGAACAGCTGTCCATGAGTCTACCGGGGAGACTCCCGCCATGATGTTGTTCGGCCGGGAATTGAATACCCCCATTGATTTGCTAGTAGAGAATCTAGATGACGAGGGAAAACCAGAGGACTACCTAACAAGCTTGAAGGAAAATTTCCAGAAAGTTTACGCCAGAGCACAGGGTATTTTGAAAAATTCCTCTTTGTTACAGAAAACTGCATATGACAGAAGACTTGAAGGCAAAGAATATTCCAGAGGCCAAGCAGTGTGGTACAAGAATATGATTCGAAAGAAAGGAGTCTCCCCAAAGCTCCAGACGAAATGGGTGGGCCCTTTTCAGGTACTGAAGAAGATATCTGATGTGACATACCGAATTATAGAATGGGGAAAATCAAGAGCCAAGCCAAAGGTAGTGCACTTTAACCAACTGAAACCTTATGAGGCGGAACTACCCACCAAATGGAGAATTTTAGAACAATGGGACAACTCTTCCGCTGAGGTGGATCCATTCTCACAGGATGAAGAGGGTACCAAAGATCCACTTAAGGTCGAGACTCCAGAAAGAGAAAGCCTACCAGAAGAGAAACCACAGTCCCAAGAAGCGGATAGCCTAGTGAAGGGCTTGATAGACTCCTGTTTGAATTTTCTTTCAGAAGAAACCAAACATAAACCAGACTCAACAGAAATCCCAGCACCTTCTTCAAGCACCCCACCCTCCGAGGGGAGACGAAGTCGAAAAAGGCCAAGGAGACTGGAGGATTATGATTGTACCATGTTACAAGAACAGGACTTACCGAGCTCACCCCTTGCTGAAACAGTTTTTAGACTACGCAAGATGGCCATGATGACAGTAGAGGGCCAAATAGGTGGTATATCTGTGGATTTTCTCATTGATACAGGTACAAACCGGACTATGATAAGTGAGGAAGCTTATAATGCCATAGCACAGAGTAGACGTCCTCCACTCCATCAGGTGAACAACACCTTCATACAAGCAGATGGGAGTAGCATAGAAGTACTAGGAGTGATTCGAACTCCTTTGATTATAAAAGAACACCAAATGAGAGTAGAAATTGTGGTAGCCAGGATTGACTACCCGGGAATCCTTGGTATGGATTACTTAGTGGGAGCAAGTGCTGTTCTAGATTTCACTAGAAGAGCTTTCCACTTAGGAGTGAAAAATGTTTCTGTTTTCCAGAAAAGACAAACCCCGGGGATGAGAATCCCTGATGGCCACAATCATCCCGAGGATGTTACTGGAGTTGTGTGCGCTCTGAGGCCCGAGAAAAGTCGACCTCCCAGGAATACATCAGAGATAGAGAAGGCTGAATCTGGGGAAGGAAACCCAACTCATGAGGACAATCAACTGATGACTACAAGTTCATCCGGTTCTATTCCTTTACAGGATGCTGTTGTATTTGTAGATAAACTAGACCGGTCCAGTGAAGATGCTGTAAGAGCCATTGGACGGCAAAAACCAAAAGTGTCATTCCAGATTGAAGAGAGTCCAAAGCCTTTGCTGAAAAAAGGGTCCATGTCGGCAGATGGAAATAAAGCCGGTAGGAGGACAAAATCTAGACCTAGGCGCTTCACACCTCACAAGAGGACACAAGGGAAAAAGACTACCACAGATTTGTTTCAGGGGGAAGGTACAGCCAAACCGACAGACCAGGGTGAAAAACCTCTCGATCTGAGTGTTGGAAAAGGGCCTCCTACTAACCAGAGTCAATCTTGGGGAGAGAGCAATACACCAACGGCTACCGCGTCCATTAGGTTTACTCCTCCCTCCTCCATTGAATTTTCGGATGGTCGAGGTATACCCGGCACATGGGTACAGGGTAGAATTGAGCGGTCAGCAGAAAGACCACTGGCTTCAACTTCTATGCCCCAATTATATACCTTCCGAGTACCAGAGCTAAGTCAAGGCCAACATATTAAATCTGAACTGATACTTAAGAAGTACTACAGGATTCAGAGGGACCCAGAGATCAAAGCAGTCCATACATTTTTGCTGGGTAGTGTTGACCATAACTCGGATCCTCCACAGACAGAGAAAAAGTAGTAAACACAGATCCAGATAGAAGAGAGTGGGTGTTTAATAATGTTGTTTCGCATTTTTGTTTTTGTTCATTTCAGTTAGCGTCATTGAGAGAGTATTACTAGATAGAATCAGTACAGAAAAAAGACAGTTAGATGTAATTGATTTCTTGACCATAACCTGGATCATCCACAGAGAGAGAAGCAGTCATAACATAGATCTAGAAAGGATAGAGTGGGTGTTTAATAATGTTTTGTATTTTCAGATTTTGTTCTTTTTCAGTTAACATGAGGGAGAGAGAACTTCGGGATAGTATCATTTCAGAAAATAGAGTTAGATTCAATTGATTGAGTTTGGTTTCTTTTTGTGTGCTTTCAGGATGGAGACCAAGAAAAGAAAGAGCAGATGGGACAAAGAACCCTCACAGAAGTCCCCATCCCCGCCGAAGAAAGGGAAATTTGAGAGATATGCCAGTACTAGCGATGAAGAGGATATTTTCATTTTCGGCAAGCCACAAATCATTCATAATGTCCCATTAGATGTTGTGGAAAAGAGCCCTCAGGCACCAACACCCGCCATGGCAAAAGCTAGGAAGGTGGCCGATGATATCATGAGGAAGAGAAGGCAGGAACAGCTAGGGCTGTTGAAAAAATCCCCACCCCCTCCTCAGCGACTAATGATGGACTCTAGCCCCAAACCCAGCTCAAGCGCGAGGCCCCTCTCTAAGACTCCAGTGAAGAAATGTAGCCCAAAACCTGCCAGCCCTATGAAGGGGCCCCTCTCTAAGACACCCGTGAAGAAATCCAGTCCAAAACCTCCCAGCCCTATGAAGAAGTCCCCTCCTAAAGTTTCCAAACTCAAGCCGAGCTCCACAGTAACTAAGGGAAAGGCCACCCCTAAAACTTCAAAACAAAAGCTTAGCCCTAAAACTTGCAAGAATGCCACCCCTGGAAGAAAACCCATGAATCTTGACCACGCTTCAACAAAGAAATCTGCGACTCCCAAACCCAGATCTACAACCCCCAAGAAAACCACTCCCAAGTCCAGTCCCAAAAGTACCAAATTAAAGAAAACCCCTGAACCCAGAGCCGTGACGGAAAAGTCCAGTGAACCCTTTATCTTTGGACGGACGAGTCCCAAATCTCTGAAGAGCATGTTTACCATAAAAGCCAAATCCAAAACCAAAGAATCTGTCATGACACCTCCCCGTAAAGTGATTCTGGAAGCTGCGGGAAACCCCTCCCCAATGAGGACCTTTCTTCTTGCAGCCTCCCTACCCAAAGCGGCGACCCAACAGAAAACCTCCCTGCTTAAGTCTAAAGGCAAAGGAAGCAAGAAAACCAAAACGTATAAAGGAAACAAATGGGTAGAAGTCGCGATAGGGCCGGATTGTGGGTCACCTTCCTTCAAGCCGAAGACAAAAAGGGCCAGGAAGAGCAAGAAGAACAAAAGGGGGAAGAGACTGGCTTCCCCCCGACCAGTACAATCCCCAGAAGAACTGTCACCGGAGTCTGACAGCACAATCATTATGAAGGGCACCCCGAAACGACCCATAAAGATGGAATTGGTCTTCAGATATTATTCTCGCACAGGAGAGGTCATCGAGGACTGCCATTGGGTGACACGGTATGGACAGTAAAACCCTTAGCAAAGAACTTTACACAGTGATTTATGGTGATTCATATTACAACGAGAGCAATAGACATATATATTACAAAACATAGCTGCATGGGACAGTGAGGATAATTAAAAGAGAGATCATATATAGAGATATTTTCATAGAATCATATAAAATAATTTACATACAGATACTATCCACAGAGTTAAGATATGAGAAAGCAGTGGATTCATATATTTTTTATACGCTGAACTTTGAGTTTTGATACTTACCTAGTACTCGTTAGAAGAGATGCAACGAAAATATTGCATCATAGTTCATTTTAGAGCGTTTTACTGTATCCTTTAAGATACTTAGATAATAGAGTTATATTTTTGTGAAATTTCGTTTTTTATTTTTTTTTTGGGGTTTTCCATTGGTGTTATCACACCAAATGTAAAAGAGGGGAGATGTGTAACGAAATTTCCAGTCAGGCATTCGATGCTAAACCAGTTCATCCCTATGTGTGATTGATTGAGTGGTACTTACCTGCCAGATTTCACATATTGTCCCTTTAGACGATAATTACAGTAGATTGTTAGGCTTTACAGAAATTTTATTCATTTTTCATAAATTGGAGTTAATTTTGGCGACGTAATGGAGGCTGCCATATTAGATTTGCCCATATAAGGAACGAGTTCAATTTATATCTTCACCCTTCGATTTCTCAACACATAAGCTAAGTTACTTCACTTTTAGCCGTCCTAGACCAAGTTAGAGGTGTAGAGTGTTGAATTAGATACCTTTCAAGGTCCAAATCTTTATCATTTGTTAGAAATTAAAGGGAATTGCTTCGTCAGATTTCGACTTGAAAACGTTTCGAATTTAACTTCCGGTTGGTAATTTTGCTCATATTTTGCAGTTTATCGACATTATTCAAGCTCCTATCTTTTATAAAAACATTCTAGAGTTATTTATCGTTCCAATCTATCCCCGCCACTGTAAAATTATATGTTTTTAGCCCAAAACACTTGGATGACCGGCGGAGTGATATTTTCCTACCGCGGAAGGCGAACTATTTTGTTACAGGGACTATATAAGGCGGGAAGCAGTGAGCTTAGCTCAGTCTTTCTTTCAGGTTCAGTACATACGTTTGAGGAACGAGTCAATACTTTTAGAATTGTGGAATTGAGTTCTTTCAAATTCAAGTGATTTCAATCAAGAGATTTGATCGCAGGTACTTTGAAATTATCTTACTTTGGAATAGAAATACTTCTATGGAGATATATTTTGGATAACAATTGTTAGTGGAATTTAACTTCAACTTATTTCAATTGACTTTGGTTTGGAACTTTGATTTATTTTAGGGATTTTATTTGTTTTCAGCACTTTGTATATTTTCAGATGTGAACTGGAGTTGGTTTATTTTCAGAGGTGATCCAGATTTTGCTGAGTTGCACAGACTTTGTATATTTTCAGGTGTGTTCTCGATTGTTGTTGCTCTCAGGTAAACCCTGCAGATGAATCAAGCTGTTCTTTCAGAGATTCCGAGGTCTGCAGATGCAATCCAGTTGGCATATACTTTCAGGACTTTGTATTTTCAGATGTGATCCGGATCAAGAGTATGCAGAGCAGAGACTTTGTGTATATTTTCAGATGTTTTCCAGACCAGGTGTAGTTGTGTAGACAGTGTATATTTTCAGGAGCTGTCCGGACCAGAGGTATTTACAAAGCAGAGACTTTGTATATTTTCAGATGCTGTCCAGACTCATTGTATGAGCAGAGACCTTGTGTATTTTCAGGAGCTGTCCGGACCAGGTGTATTTGCAAAGTAGAGACTTTGTATATTTTCAGATGCTGTCCAGACTCATTGTATGAGCAGAGACCTTGTGTATTTTCAGGAGCTGTCCGGATCAGGTGTATTTGCAAAGTAGAGACTTTGTATATTTTCAGATGCTGTCCAGACTCATTGTATGAGCAGAGACTTTGTGTATTTTCAGGAGCTGTCAGGACCAGGTGTATTTACAGAGCAGAGACTTTGTGTATTTTCAGATGCTGTCTGGACTAGGAGTATTCACACAGACTGTGTATTTTTAGGTGCTGATCCGGATCTTGGGAGTATTTGTAAGATTCTAGAGGTGATCCAGAGTCTGTGCAATTGCCGAGAATTTGGTGTATTTTCAGGACTTTTGTGTATTTCCAGAGGTGGTGACCGACTTTGATTGACAACCAAGTTTGCTTTGTAGGCATTCTACCTTTCAGGGTTTGCTTTGTAGGCATTCCATTTCAGAGTTTGCTTTGTAGGCATTCTATTTCAGAGTTTGCTTTGTAGGCATTCTACCTTTCAGGGTTTGTTTTGTAGGCATTCCATTTCAGAGTTTGCCTTTTATATATTTTCAGGACTTTTGTGTATTTCCAGAGGTGGTGACCGACTTTGATTGACAACCAAGTTTGCTTTGTAGGCATTCTACCTTTCAGGGTTTGTTTTGTAGGCATTCCATTTCAGAGTTGCTTTTCAGGCATTCTATTTCAGAGATTGCTTTGTAGGCATTCTACCTTTCAGGGTTTGCTTTGTAGGCATTCCATTTCAGAGTTTGCTTTGTAGGCATTCTACCTTTCAGGGTTTGCTTTGTAGGCATTCCATTTCAGAGATTGCTTTGTAGGCATTCTATTTCAGAGTTTACTTTCTATATATTTCCAGGGTTTGCCTTCTACCATTTCAGAGTTTGCTTTGTAGGCATTCCATTTCAGAGTTTACTTTCTATATATTTCCAGGGTTTGCCTTCTATATATTTTCAGGGTTTGCCTTCTACCTTTCAGGGTTTGCTTTGTAGGCATTCCATTTCAGAGTTTGCTTTGTAGGCATTCCATTTCAGAGTTTGCTTTGTAGGCATTCTATTTCAGAGTTTGCTTTCTAGGCATTCCATTTCAGAGTTTGCTTTCTATATATTTTCAGGGTTTGCCTTCTTCATTTCAGAGTTTGCTTTGTAGGCATTCCATTTCAGGGATTACTTTTTAGGCATTCCATTTCAGGGTTTGCTTTGTAGGCATTCCATTTCAGAGTTTACTTTCTATATATTTCCAGGGTTTGCCTTCTATATATTTTCAGGGTTTGCCTTCTACCTTTCAGGGTTTGCTTTGTAGGCATTCTATTTCAGAGTTTGCTTTGTAGGCATTCTATTTCAGAGTTTGCTTTGTAGGCATTCCATTTCAGAGTTTGCCTTCTATATATTTTCAGGGTTTGCCTTCTTCATTTCAGAGTTTGCTTTGTAGGCATTCCATTTCAGAGATTATTTTGTAGGCATTCTATTTCAGAGTTTACTTTCTATATATTTCCAGGGTTTGCCTTCTACCATTTCAGGGTTTGCTTTGTAGGCATTCCATTTCAGAGTTTGCTTTGTAGGCATTCTACCTTTCAGGGTTTGTTTTGTAGGCATTCCATTTCAGAGTTTGCCTTTTACCTTTCAGGGTTTGCTTTGTAGGCATTCCATTTCAGAGATTGCTTTGTAGGCATTCTATTTCAGAGTTTACTTTCTATATATTTCCAGGGTTTGCCTTCTACCATTTCAGAGTTTGCTTTGTAGGCATTCCATTTCAGAGTTTACTTTCTATATATTTCCAGGGTTTGCCTTCTATATATTTTCAGGGTTTGCCTTCTACCTTTCAGGGTTTGCTTTGTAGGCATTCCATTTCAGAGTTTGCTTTGTAGGCATTCCAGTTCAGGGTTTGATTTGTAGGCATTCCATTTCAGAGTTTGCTTTGTAGGCATTCCATTTCAGAGTTTGCTTTGTAGGCATTCCATTTCAGAGTTTGCTTTTCAGGCATTCCATTTCAGAATTTGCTTTGTAGGCATTCTATTTCAGAGTGTACTTTCTATATATTTCCAGGGTTTGCCTTCTATATATTTTCAGGGTTTGCTTTGTAGGCATTCCATTTCAGAGTTTGCTTTGTAGGCATTCTATTTCAGAATTTGCTTTGTAGGCATTATATTTCAGAGTTTGCTTTGTAGGCATTCTATTTCAGAGCTTCTGTTCCAGACCTGTCTTTCCAGGGATTGTAATTTCAGGTTCATCGAGTAGAGAACTTTATTATTGAGAGGAACAGATACAGAGTAAGAGACCTTTATAACAGGAAACCAGCCAGACACAGAGAATCAGACACGGCCATAGACATTTGGAGAGATATAGAGACCCATATACTCATAGACATTATTGAAGCAGATATAGACATTGGATGCAAGATACTTGATACATTAGAGATACAATCAATACAAAGCTAGAGACATTCTCGATTTATTTTTGTAACACTTCGTGGGCTAATAACAGCCTAAATAGAGCTAATTTCTTTTCATAAGTAAACTGAATTACTGTGTTTGTCATTATTATTTAGAGGCAGTAGACTCGGTTGCAGTAAAAGTGTCAACCGACCCCGACACGCCCAAAGACGTCTCACCCCTTTATAAACAAACGAAACCCCCAACTTCCCAAATCATAACACCAAACACACACTACCACGGAGGTTGGAGCCGTTCGTTACAATATTATAAAAGGCAACAGTAAAATACAGTATTCTATTTTGGAATTTCTATAATTCATGTATCCAGAAATGAGCATCAAACATTTGCAGATTCTTTTGACTCCATCGTTCTCGAATCAGACCTCCATATATTCCATAGTCATTTTGAAATATTTAGAACTTAACTCCCCCCATGATAGTCCACGGTATGAAATTTCTAGGACGTCTAATTAAGGAGTTGGTGGCACCATATATGCATAATGATATTTGAGCTTATATTTAGATACCTACATGTGTCCCGCGTTTTATTTTTGTATAGCCGTGATAAATACGGCGGGCTTTTAGGCCGAATAATGCATGTCATTATCAGGGGTCAAAAAACGTGTAAAACGTTTTTCGTATTTTTTTATAATTTAAAGTACAAACATTAAAAGAAAATCACATGAAAATATTTTTAATATATACATCAAGTTTCTTGGCTATAATTTTGCGGTATGTGTTCCTCGAAATACCTTATATATAAAAAATCAAGGTTTCAACATTTCATGTCGTTTTGGAGATATTGGTGAAGCAATCAATATGTTGTCACCTTTATTACCTGTGAATAACATATGGTTATACTATGTCAGTTTTTTACTAAATTAGTTGTAATACATTTTGAGATATGGACAGCCGTATTCAGGGGTCAATTGCCAATAAAGGGAGACTCGTTGTTCTTCCTTGTCTAATACCGTCTGCGATTGAAAATTGTTGCATATGGTTGAACATGAATTGGTTGCTTATATAAGGACCATATCTTCAACAT